GTATTTGAGGCCACATTTGAGCAGTTCGCACAATGGCTGGATATGGAAAATGGCCAAAGACCGAACTTACCTCGCAGCAATCCGTTCCATCCATTCCCGTACGACAAAGTGTGCGTGTATGCTGGCTACAAAGAAATGCTTCAGCTGTTTGGTGTCGGGTCGCCCGTCTTTGAGATTGTTGACTGGCAGTGTGTGGGGTTACCAGGCCGCGACGGCAGCAAATCAGTCTTCTGGATGGGCACCAAGGGCGCATACACACCTTGTCACTACGACACATATGGTTACAATGTTGTTACGCAGCTGTACGGAAGGAAACGCTGGACGCTGTATCCGCCATCAGATGAACGATACCTGTATCCAACACGCATTCCGTACGAAGAATCCAGTGTCTTCAGCGCAGTCGACCATAAGCAGCCTGATAGCACCAAATACCCACTGTTTGCAGGGGCTACAAAGTATGAGGTAGGCTGCCAGTTGCACAGTGTTGTCTTGTCGTCTTGTTCTGTGCATGTCATGTGAGATCGTACCCCTAAATTCCACACATGCATACTTCAAAGTATGTAGACAACCGTACAAGCACGATATGTGTACACAAACACCCCAGAGCCACACAGCTCAGCACAGAATGGAGGAGATACTAGTATTAAGAATTGGTTTTTCTTGCTGCCCTATAGTTGCTCTCAAATGGCATCTAACTTTGCCGTGGAAACTGGCTTTGCAGCCTTCTCCAGAAAGCCCCAGAACTCTTCTAAAACTGGCCTGGTTTGCATGTTACATTTGTTACATTGGCTGTATAGCAGTCAACCACAGCATCCATTCTGTATGATGGTGTGAGTGTACGTGTGTACGTGCTCCTCTCTATTTGTGAGACGTTTCGATGGGACAGCTGTTCCTGCGGGCAGCAACGGGCGTGTGAAGTTCCCACTGAACATTGGCACAGTCGTGTTAGTCATGCTGCTATGGTTTGCACTGTCGTGCTGTGTAGGTGGTACTGGAGCCTGGCGATGTTCTCTTCGTGCCAAACCACTGGTGGCACTTGGTGGAGTCTTTGGAGACCTCGATCAGTGTTAACACTTGGGTTGAACAGGTAAGCCAGGCACTGCCATGATTTTCCTTACGGGCTTTGCGCCAACTGTGTGTGGGTAGTAAACCAGTTCTGAAACATGTACATGTAACGTTAGACTTGAACTGGCCCCACAATACTGACTGTACTTGAAGTTGTGCATGCCGATGTAACCCAGGGTTCGGATAGACTCCGATTTCCCTAGATTACCTTATTGTACAAGTACATAGTTTCGTTTTGAAATTAACTTTCGCTATGTTCGTTAGGGGCACGAAATAACTAAAGTAACGTAAAGTTTGTACCAAACCTAAGTTTTTTGTCCGAACGTTCGGGGTGACAGACCTTGACCAAAAACGAAATTTATTACATAACGAACATGCTGGTGGAGTCCTCTAACAAAAGATTTCGTGAAAAAAAAATTGTCCTTATACAGCACTTCTGTACTCACAACAACTAGGAAAAATGCATGGAACATGGCACGACTGTTGAATATCAAGTGCAGTACATGTTGCATATAAAGGCAGGTGCACAGCCCACGACTTCCGAGAACATTTCAAGAGCATCATAGTTAGCAGCAGGCTGCATGGTAATGAAAGCAGTGACAACATTCTTGCATGTTGTGAAGCATGGATACAGCACATGCACAGTAATAGAGCATCCTTTAGTGCACAACTGTCTAGGACTCTCTAGGTTCGGGACGGATTCGCCTACTATTAATTGTAGTCACGAATGGTCCCAATGAATTGGATTCCACAACCAGGATACGTCTGCATATGGGACAGACATGTTTGCCCGATCCTGGCCCGTCCAAATCGGAGTGATGTCCCTTTTCCACGTGTGGTGAATTGGAATTTCTCACGCTCAAGCCGTAATTCAGTGACTTTTGTGTGCTGCTGTGTGCTGCTGTGTGCCTTCTGTTACTCGCAGGAAACTGACA